CACATTCAAGACAGTTAAGAACACATACCAGAACAGAGGATAGGAAAAACTCATTTTTTTGGCCAGAAAACACCGATTAGCTGGCTATTCTTTGCAGATATGCAAACATGTAAACTTGTGTGTGTTCATTAGATCCTGCTGTCTGAACATAATCAAAATAACTCAGCTCAGTATCAGGAGTTTTTGAAAATTATTTGGAAAGAGTTGAGAGATAGGAAGGCTATGCTCTGGAAGTATTCTCTCAGGCATACCCAGGTTTTCATATAGGTAGATAAATAGGTAGATGAATCCTGGCAGAGAAATAATTCTATTTTTTATCTTTTTTCTACAAAGACTTTATAGGACCCAATGTATGATAACTTGAAAAAACTGCCCAGTATAAATAAACTGCTTCCTCATTGTTAGGCCTTTGAGAGCAAGCCAGACACCAAGAACTACCAGATTTCCTTGTCCCATATTAGGAAAATTGACCTATTGCCACAGTTGCTGTATTCAGCTGAACTGTGCTATATTCAACATATGAATCTTATTAGGGGATTAAGGTTACCAAATACCTGGTCTCCTTTTCTTGATGTGATTCAGCCAAGCACATACTTTATGTTATTATTTTTTCACTGCTGACTGAGTTCCATATCTAGACCAGCTTTCTCTCAATTGATGTCCTCCAGAAATGATGGACTATAAATACCATCATTGCCAACCAGTTGGAGAAGAGAAAGCTACAGGTAATACTCTGCTTGGTGTGTTCAATTCCAGTGTAAGCCTCATTCTAGTAAAACATGGAGAGAAATATTCAGAAGCCGTTACAAAACCAAACAGGGCAAAAATATTCATTGAGAAAATAGATAGTATTAGGAAGTTCAGACTGGCTTCTCCATGGTTCTCTGGGGGTTATAAGAGGAAGGCAATAAAAAACTAGATTATGTTAACATACAGGTAGATTATGTAAACATACAGATTGTCAGATTATGACCGTAATGGAGCCTGCCCATTATGATTGTAAGTCACGGTGGTTGTAAAGCAGGCTATCATGTGATTTTATGACTTTTTATGTAAATGCATCATCATGGTCATTGAGTCCATTGTTCATTATGGGGAGTTTTTGCAGAAAATCAATGTTTTCACCCAAAACGTTGTAAACTGTGATCATGTGACCACAGGGGAACTGGGTGGCTAAGTATCCTTGGGGGGTTATTGTAACTTCAAATGGTCACTAAATGGTTGGTCGTAAATTAAGGATTACCCACAGCTTATCTCAAAAAAGCTTACTTCTAGTCTTCTTTTTAAGTCTGTTTCCTAATCAAGACAACCTCAAAGGGCTGACAGAAAACTCAGTTTCTTGTTTGAATGTCTGATGATTATTTCTTCCCTCCATGCATACATGCACACATCTAACAGATGATCACATAATAAGATTAACAAAATAGCAGCAAGAATGAATATCAGCTTTGATCAAAGTAGAACAGTATCTCTAAGCCTGAAAAGGTCCTGCTTCCTTTAAAGATCTGCACATGCTAATGAAAATCAATGTCCTTTGGTTCTACTCACTTATCCCAAAGTTACTTATCGTTAGAGGTCTCCAGTCCATCCTTTGTCTGCTGAGATGAAAAGGTGTCCTGATCATCTTGAAAAATAGCTGAATGGCAAAATATTGCAAAAGGCCTGCAGCCTTTGTCATTTACTTTTTCAGGATGATTGCATCAAAAACTGGCTGCATTGCTATATCCAATCCACCCAAGTCCTTGTAAAACTTGACTTCAGCTGCTTGGATAAGTACTATTACATTTGAGTGAAGATTCAGACCATCTAGTTCCCAAAGGAAGGTACAGTTGATGAATATGTCATATGTTATTTTACTGAAACCAATAAAAGCCAACTCCTTTCCTGAAAATTGATCATTGAGAAAATTTGATTTGTTTTATTTGAGGATGACCTCAACTGGTGGTCCATATTTACAAGGTGAGTAAATCAGGTTCAGTCAGGTTCCTGGCCAGCAAACACCTAATAGTACTAATAAGACTTACTAATTATGAATTATTACAATAAATGAAATCTTTTCACAATGCTTGATCTATAGCAAAAAGGAATCAACTGGGAACAAATACTAGAGAAAAATCTAAGGTGCTGGTGCTGGTCTATACAGCCCATCATGCCATAGGACTGGGTTATTTATTGGACTTCCTCCCCTTCTTTCTACCTGTCGTATTATATCGGGCAGAGGCATGTCGCATGGCTTGTCAATTAAGAAATGTCATCTGGCAGGACCATGAAGAGAGCCTGTTTGTCATTGTGCCTATCCTGTACACGTTCATCTCCGCAGAGTTCAGATTGGCCTAAATCTATTGACCTTTCACAAGGACATGGCTATAGTTGGACTGTCAATTAGAGCGTGTAAGATGGCTATATTCATCGTAGTTTTTCTTTTATCTTGGCTGTCAGTTATGGATTTTATTTTTATTGTTGGTTGTGTTTTTAACTATTGTTAGCTGCCCAGAGCTACCATGCTAAGATGGGTGAGCATATTAATTGAATTAAATGAACAAATGAGCAAGGAAGCATTGGATATTCATTCCTCAGCAGGAGTTTGATGCTCTGGATGCCATACCGATTTACTTCAAAATAAGAGGGGAAGACAGATCTGAAAATAAGCAGTTTACTGGATTACACACAAATTTAGCTAGTGCAGTTTTTATTCCCAGTAGTAGACTAGATGCAGATGGGAAACTCATAGCAGGGCATCAAGTATGGATGACATATTATCTGCAGGCTACAGATGTCTAATGTGTTCATTTCCTGTCTTTCGTCTTGATCTCTTTGCCTAGCAATTGTGCAGACTGACTTTATTTCCTTTTGCATAATCAGATTCCCCCCCACACACACACACATCTTCATCTCTGATGCCATACTCAAAACTTTGTGGTTTATACTGCCTGTCCCAAGGATCATAGGGAAAGCTGCTGTGTCACCTTTTGGGTATTACATGCTTACTCTGTTTGCATTTCTGTTTTTGCAGATCTCATCTGGCTACAGAGCTTTGCTGCCACCTGCTGCATTACCATCATATTCCATCTTTTCATTAGCAGGCGGATCAAGGAAAATCAGGTAGGGGATTTTATTAATATGAATTTCTTGGCCTCTATCCTATACTTAATGTGCCTCCCAATAGCATTTCAGGATGGAGACTGAGAATAAGCATTCTATTCTGCCCTATAAATCATGGTTCTTGAGCTGCAATGAATGGGTTCGCATAACTAATCATCTAGGTCATGACTTGAAGCAGAACCTATGCAGGCATAGCTAAGCTTTCAAGCCACTCCAGGTGTTGAAAAAAAAGAATATTAGGATATTATGTTATGTTAATAGACAATTTTAACTCTCCTCAAATAGATTTAGTTAAAAAATGTTCTACTCACAGTGAAGGAGTTACATTTCTAGGCGAACTAACAGCCCAAATCTCAGAACAGTTTACCATGAATTCTTTCAGACAGGAAGCTAGCTTGGTTTAAATCTAAGTGGTGTATACCTATGGTCTACAGCCCAGGACAGGGCTGTGGGCTCTTGGCCAGCGGGCCACAGAAACGGTTCGCTGGTGCATGCACGCATGGGCGTATTTCCCCCCCACTAATGCTAGCGCCCGCGGCCGTTTGCTCATGCATGCAGGTGCGAATGGGAATACTAGCGCGGGGGTGTGTGTCCGCAGCCCAATTGTGCATGCGCCACTAGCCCAGGCGGGTTGTGTGGCCGTTCGCATATGCACATGACACCAGCACATACTGCATGCACAGAACTGCTAGTGTGGCGCCAGAGTGTGCGGCCCCGTGCGTGCGTACACACACCAGTTTTGAAGCTGCTCTCCTTCCCTCCAGTCCTTGAGCCCAGAAAGATTGGAGACCCCTTGTGTATAGAATCTAGTCTGTGAAGCAACTCTTGAACCAATTAGAAACTAATCATAATACATAAAGTACAGTATGTGTCTATACATCTATATACAGTAGGTGTATGTGGTTTTATACACACTTACATGGCAATTCACTAACAGTTTCATAAACAGAATTTTTTTAAAAAAATAAACAGGAAAGTTTGAAATAAAATGGGCCAAATCAACACAAAAAATCTGCATTGTATAATACTATATATATCAAGACACAAATTGAAACAGAAATTACACTGCAAATGAGGAACTGTATGATTACTGACATTGTTAATAGGGCGTGCATCACTTTGGAAATAATACAGGAAATATGCAGTGCGTAGTTTTCTTCTGCAGCTACAGTATAATCTTGGGGGGAAATGCACCTGCTTTCAAGAGTTGCATAGTAAACATAATTGGGGGTGGGGGAGTTTGTGGAAAGGTACCAAGAAATTTTCTAAATGAAGAAAGAGTTGAATCTTGATTTCCCACATTTTCTCATGTGGTTTCAACTAGAAAGTAGAATTAAAAAAAGTTTCAAATAGACAACCAACATGCATGGTATGCCTTTCAATTATTGACATGTGCACTGAAATAATTGGTTTTTTTTAATTCTATGAAAAAACTAGAATAATCAACTATTTGAGAGCTTCATAATTAGTTTAGTATTCATATTATTCCTCAGGAGATGCTTTAAACCTTTTCACTAATAATTGTGCCAAAAGAAAAGGTAACCCATTTCAAAGTTGCTACTATCTGTGTTTCCCTGAAAATAAGACCCCGCCTTATATATTTTTGGCTCCAAAAGAGACACTAGGTCTTATTTTCAGGGGGGATGTCTTACCATGGACCACCACAGCCAGGCCTCCCAGGCCCCGACACCTGTTGCACCGCTGCTTGACTTCTTCAGTGGCCACTTGCCGTTACTTGCAGCTGGACGTCATGTGGTGCATTGCGCCATTGCCTCTGCTCGTGGCACGAGGCCACATGATGCTTTACGCCATTGCTGCCTCTCACAACGGCCCAAAGCTCTGTGCCGCGAGAGGCAGCAATGGCATGACCCTTAAAGAATGATCAAGCTGCAAATAAATAAAATTCCAGACATGGAGATAACTTTATTACTTGGAAATGTTTCCTTAAGGGGACAAAAAACACTTACCAATTATAATGAACATATTTAGCTTAACAGCTGAATACTGAACATGCTTTTACATCCTTGGAAAATTAACAAGGGCTGCTAGTCTCTCTTTAAACTGGCTTATTCAAAGACTAAACAGATGAATAATTCCTTCATCACAGCATAGTCCTCAGGCATGACCTCCCTCATCTCACCCTTTTTCTCCTGCATATCTGAATTTGTTTTAAAGGTTATTTAACTGCCAGCCCACAAATGTTGAACAAGCTGTAAGAAAGGACTTTTTGACTTTAGACTGCTTATGTATTGCCTGCTCTGTAAAAAGACAACTTTTTGCAAAAGGAGAGCATAACAAGGAACAGGTAGGTGTAGAACTTTATCCCCCCCCCCAGTGTGTGACAACTTACTCTGCACTGAAGGTTGCTTTCAGAGGAGGAAGTGCTGACCAGAGAGACTGTTGAGCTAGAAGCACAACAGTGAAATCCAGATGTCTGCTACAGGGAGAAGTATCTCTAGTTCAAGAAAACCTCAACTAGCTTCTGATTCAGTGGAGCTCTTAGGGGCAACTGCAGCAGATGAGTTGCTAGCAGGAATGCCCTGGAGGTTAGCAGCCATTTCTCATAAACTGGACTGAACAACCCACTTCCCCCAAGAATGACGCCAGACTGCTTTCAAGTACACCTACTGATTCTCCATATAGATCACGTTAAAGCAAAGATGCATTAACTTCAATGCTTCAGTATGAAAGTCCCATTTGCCAGTTTGTGGCCATTGTGAAACAAGAACTGGCACCTGAGAAGCTTGTTTCAATCAATTAACACAGACTCGGTTAAATGTAAGACAAATAGACCAACAGCACAACCTCTTTGCATATCTTTGTCTCAGGTGCTGAATACAAACAAGACACTTTTCAAAACTGCAAAAAAATATTAACTGAGTCAATTCTTTGTGGCAGAGGCAAACACACCTATACAGGAGCCAAAGAACCTGATTCCCAATGGCTGGAAGACCTTTTAAGGAAACAAGCAAGCTGGGGAGGAGATGGCTGTTTACTGGCCAGCACCTGATTTTTAACATCTTTGGAAGAAAACATGAATTTTTTTTTTTTGCCCATACAGAAAATGCAAACGGAAAAACAAGCAATGCTATAATCTGTGAGTTCCCTGTTAGTACATCGAAACTCGGGCAGGGTTCAGAAAACAATGACAAGTAATTCCTAGTTTTCAGGAGAATATAAAGAAAGTTTTAAGAAGGGAAAAAAGATTATTTTATACAAAACTAAACTGCTCTAAGCCTGCTTTTTAAGCCAATTGCACTGTATTCTACTTATAAGCTAAGGCCTTTGCAAGGAAATATCCTGGCTTTTTTAAAAAAAAGCTTTTCAAACTTAAAAAAAATCTTATTTTACTAAAGCTTTTCAAGCTAATCAAAAAAACATGTAATTTGTCAACATATGGTTAAGGCAGACTAGCCAACTATGTCAAGTGACCATTGAGTCTTCCTCCTTGGGGATTAATTTTGATTAAGCAAAAATATTGTCAAAGTGGCTTTTTGTGATACAAAAAGAAGGTAATGTCAGAAAATTTTCTGAGAATGTTGTATCTTAGGAAACAGAACTAAAAGGAAACAAATGAAAAATGATAGCTACCAGAATTTCTTGGCTTTGTGGTATGCTGATGGAAGTTGCTGCAAGAATCCATATGTCCTGAAATACTGATAACAATGAAAATTTATTCAAAGATCTAAGCAGAAAATTTCATCGGGGAAACTGACAACTATGCTAACAATGGCATCCCTCCCTACAGGATTATCTAGTAAACTTCTCTTAGTCTTTAAGCTATTAGGAATAGCTTAACTAAACTAAACTAACTTTACATGATTACTTCTTTTTCCTGCCAATTAACTGCGTAAGAAGCTTGATGTGCCTAATCAAGCAACATTGGGAAACAGGATGGAGTTCAAGCCAGGCAAAAGGGATACTTTGGGCTCTTTTGCTTTTGAACAATTGCCTCTCACATAATAACCTCATAAACAAAAACAAAAAAAACTCTTTGCCATGGGATCCAGGGGTTTTTTTGGTGGGGGGGGGGGGGGAGTGAATCAGCTGCTGTTCAAAAATCTGGGCCTCAAATCTTCCTGGATTTTTAAAATTAGCTAGAAGGGGTTTTTATTATTATTATTAGTCAGAATGAAAAGAGCCTTTTGTATTTTTGCACTTGGAAAAGCAAACCTCTTGAGCTGGGATCCAAACGAGGAATGAAAGAAAACTTTTTCCTTCTGGGTTATTTCTATTTGGAGAGAAAGGTTTCGTCAGAAGGGATCATCTGCTTTTTGGGCCCAATGTTTGTCCCAGCACTGCAGACTAGAAACTGGGAACTCATCCAAATTCTGGAGTTCACTGTGCCATCGGCAAATTAACCCTTTGCACCTCCCAGACCTGTCTCAGGGAGACATGTAAAGCATTTCCATCACCACACTTTAAACTTGTCCCACTGAAAGATTCAGAAACAGTTTTTCACCATCTCAAAACGATGCTGAGTCTTGATTCTCTTGAGAGGTAGAAGAGGAGGACTTCCCCTTCCTCTCCTGCCCACCTGCATATTTGAACATCAGGTATCCACCCAGGAACTCCAGAAAATGGGCAGGAGCTATGACTGTTCTGCTTCAGAAGCTGGTTTTGCGCCGCGTTGTCTCACTGGGTTTGGTGGAAGAACAGGGTACCCTGGATCTCCACGGTCCATTCCACCATCAAGATTGACTCCATCAAGTTCTTCACTTTTTTTTTTCAAATGCTGAGCAGATTCTGGTAGCTTTCCTAAGAAGAGAAGAAAATTCAGCATTGCCATTCATCTCTTTAGATCAGAGGTCCCCAACCTTTTGGGCACCAGGGACCAGTTCCGTGGAGAGACGTTTTTCCGCAGATCGGAGGATGCGTGGTTTTGTGTGCTGCCTGCATCCCGCGGATGGGGTTTTGCTTGTTTGTGCGGACCAGTTTCTGGCATGCCGCGGCCCGATACCAGTGCACAGACCAGGGGTTGGGGACCCCTGCTTTAGGTGGTGAAGAAGCAGGGCGAACAATTTGCACATATGGTATGAAAGAGACTACCCCTACCCACTCAAATATCTTTAATGGTATCTCTGGAGTTCCCAGAAATCATGCTGCCCACTTTTAACAAAAAGATTGGATTGTAATTACCATTAAACTCAACTTGCACAACTTATGCTAGAACTGTGGAAGGTAACAATCCAATGGAGTTTAGAAACACTCATTTTAAAAACAAAATTTGTGTGGGATTTTAGTTTCATTAATGCAAGTGTTACATTCCGGTTCTGCAGACGTCATGCAGCAAAAAGCAACTTGCAGAATACCTTAATGGTTCTTAAAACAGAGTACAAACGTTAATTTGGTTTTAAATTCATGCCAGTGGAAATCCACTCATAGAACACTTTCACTGATAAAAATGTGATTAAAGACTGTCAATTTTCACTGATTTTCCTCTGCAATTTTATATAATCACTCTAGAACCAGGGAGTTTGATGATCCCTGGAATAGAGGTCCTGAGTTTATAAAGGACAATAAAATGGCTTTGTTTCCCCTCTGTGAATGAGAGGGAAAAATACATGATCCTGGCCCTAGAGAGACAGTTGCTGTAATAGTTAAGTTGCTAGAGCATAATCAGGCTTCAAATCCATCCTGAACTATGGATTGGGTGACTTTGGGCCAATCTCTTTTGCATAACTTCATTCCTGGAATTTGCTGCGTAGATAAAATTAAGATTCCCAAGTACTGAATTCATGGAGGAAAAGTAAGATATGAGTCTAAGAAATAAATAAATTACTTCCCCTCACTTCTGTCTGTGAGCAAAGTAGCAACTCAAGATTTAAACCATTGCATGGATAAGATTCCGATATGAATTTTATAAGGCTAGGTAGCATATGCCAATCCTAAATATAAGGGGTGGGGAAAAAACTGTTTGCTAAAGCCCACTCATGATTTCCTGGAGCAGTGAAGTTTACTCTAAGACTGACACTTGCTAAAATTTTGATCTTCAGCTGGGTCCTACTCAAGAGAATGTCATTATTTCTTCTCTTACTTTGTATTCTTCTTTGTGAGGAGTATGACTTTTAGGCCACAGAGCATCACTGTTTTAAGTTGCATAACCTTGTTAGGACCAGAAAGTTAATAGCTGATTTTTATCAAACCTGGGGGAAGCTATTCCCTCATCTTCAGTAACCACTAACGCATCTTCAGACAAAATCGGAAACCTTGTGCAGCTCTTGCTGAATCCTTGCACTGTTATTTAAGATACCCAGCCAGACATAATAGCACTTCTATCTCCTTTTAAGCAAACACGAGAGTTTGCTTAAACTTGCCTCCCTCTATTCTTGCTGGTTTAGGAATAAGAACTAAGAGATACACTTGGTCACTGAGTAGTGCTGTTGAAAATGGGCAGGGCTAAGAGAAAAAAAGTTAAGTGCCATTATTTAATTAATAGGCAGTTTAATTACTTAGATGATTTATGATTTTGGAAAAACTTGGGTAACATACTAAGGCAGGAAAATAAAATGAAAAACAAAGCCAAACAAAGGTGATAACTTCAAGACTGGCTCGATGCTTAAAGCTCCCTTTTCTTGTCTCACTCCAAGAAGAGATGCACTTGGCATGCAATATACTTACTCTGATGAAGGTGCTGGTGTGGCCTTTGCTTTTTAGAGGGACAAACACAATCGGCCAGAAACACCATGATCTGAAAAGAAAACCAACATTCTTCAGTATTGCATTCAAGCTTTAACTTCTCCTTTTAATTCTGAGTGCAAAGAGAAATGTTTACTTACAAGGCCTAGCAGCAGCCCCAAAAACAAAGTTATAAATGCAAAAATTGCATAGGATCCCCAGTGTGGTATACCAAGGTTTTCTGTGAAATAAGTGTGACATTGCTGAAAGGGAGAAAAACAAATTTGAAAATTAGCTGGACAGCAACTCTGTAAGCCATCTGGAATCACCACGAGTGAGTTAGGCAGCCATATATATATATTTAATAAATAAACTCAAACCTAATATCTCTTCTGACTTAAAGAATGATGTGGTACGTACCCTAATCCACATGGAAAGCTGAAATAAGGCAGACATGCTGCTCATCCTGCAAAGAAATAAGGGGTAATTCTATAACCAAAGAGGCAAAAATAAAATTTACAATTAAAGAACTTTCAGTGGATTTCAGTGATCTAAGCAGCCCACTTGGGATTCAGCATTTAACTTCTATTACAGTTGTTCATGCAATTTCCATCTGTCTGCAACGTAATCAATTCCCACGTTTAACTATAAATGGAACCTAATTGTAAATGATTCCTATTGGAAGAAAAATTGGAAGACACCTAAAGAAATCAATGTAGAAACAAACAGTTTTCGGCAATATTGAAAAGAAGAAAAAAAGGGGGGGCTGAATAGGAAAGCCCTATAATCAAAGGAGAAAGTATGGTATCACACAATGAGCTTGAGACTTGCAAAAAGTTCCCAAAACAACCACAAAAGGTGATTGGGAGATGTATCTGAAATGATAGATTCTAAATCTCTTATGAAGAGAAAGGGATGAATTAGTAACAGGTAAAAAAGAGAAGGCAAACTATCTTAATTAAGATTTTATATCTGTTTTCACTCTGAAGGGAAACAAAACCTTCGCTGGCTATCATTTTGCTACTAGTGAGATAAAGGAACTGCAACTCAGATATACAAGGAGAAACATTTAAATGAACTCAAATCTTTGAAGCCAAATGAATTGTGTTCTTGGCATTGAAAAAACTGGCAAAGGTCCCATCGCAAAGACTGCAGGAGAACAAATGCCCCTATCTTCAAACAAGGGGAGGAAGACAACACAGGGAACTAAAGATCTCCCAGTTTGATGTTTTACTGGGTGGGATCCTCAGACTATTAAACAACATATCTCTGAGCCATGGATAGGAATATAGCAATAAGAGACAACATGAGTTAGACACAAACCAAATTAAAGTTATGTCTTTTTGACAGAATTACTTACTTAATGCATTGGGGATACGGCTTGGACATAGTGTACAAGGTTGACTCAACCTTTCATCCTTCTGAGGTCAGTAAAATGAGGACCCAGATTGTTGGGGGCAATAAACCGCTGTAAACCGCTTAGAGAGGGTTGTAAAGCACTGTGAAGCGGCATATAAGTCTAAGTGCTATTGCTATTGCTACTATAACCTCAGCTAAGAATTCAAATGTCATCTTTTCTTTTCAAACCTAAACAGACCCAACTTCTCTTCAAAAGATTTCTAGTCCCCTGACCATATTCATTGACTTTCTTTCTCTGAACTTATTCTATTTTTTTAAAGTGAGGTGCTCACAACTGGGCCCAGTACGAGGTGGTAATGGACCCATGCAGAATAAAATGCAATGACTGCCTATGACCTATTTTGTTATCCTAAGCATCTTAAAGAAAAAGAATGAAAATATAAAATAATTAGACTCAATCAAGATCGTAACTATTTTCAGAAATCATTAGTTTAGATCTTAACTTGGTGTCAGCTTCATAAATTATTAAACTTGGTAGGACATATACATACACATACATACATGGGGGGGGAACAGTTAGGGTTAAAATTTCCCAGTAACTTGCCTAAATCAGTGCTGAGGACTACAGTCATCATCTGTAAATTAACTAGATTCATCTAAAGCCAGAATTCAAGTTTTTTTGTATTTGTTTCCCAAGCCTATCAGGGAGTAGAAAGATTCCTGCTGATACTTACAGAAATGAAGATGGTCCAAGCCATGAAGAAATAGGCTCAACAGACTTCCATTCTTGCTCACTGATGAAATTGATAAAGTCACTTTTAGTTCGGGAACCTTGGTACCGTCTAAATTCTCCATCTTTACAACTGTCCAAAATAAGAGCCATGTCAAGCACTTAAAATTCTCTTAATTTCTCACCTAGCAACACTATAGACAAGGTTACCTGATTATTTATTTAATATCCTGCCTTTATTACTTTTATAAACAACTCAAGATGGCAAACATCTAACATTTCTTCTTCTTTCTATTTTTCCCACAACAACCCTGTGAGGCGGGTTAGACTGAGAGAGAGCAACTGGCCAAAAGTCACCCAGCAGGCTTTTATGCTGGACATGGGACTAGAACTCCTGCTCACAAGAGTTATAGCAACTCAGTTGGTTTTAAAGTACTTACTGGTAAATGGTGGGAAGTGCTGTTATGACAAACCTTCCACTTAGTCCTATATAAAGATCCAGAGAGAAAATGAGAGTTAAGAGTTCGTTATAGTAGATGTATTTCAAGGTAATCAGTCACAAATACATTAACTTTGCTCAAATTAAGTTTCCTCATTTTAATTATGCATACAATTGCAGGTGACTTTTTTAAAGAGACAAAGGTTAAAGTAACATTATTGAAGACCATACCACCCCATCCCATCCCCATCATCCTATAAACAATCTATTACCAACAGCCATACCCAGAACCTGATCAGTAAAAACCATCTGTTTCTTATATATTATTTTTATGAAAAATTCAACAGGCAGACAAAAATGGAACTGGTCAGAACTTTCCAGAGGATAAAATTGTTTCACTTTTCAAACATGTTATCAGCCATTACCCTATTCAGTTCATAATAAAGCTATTGAAGAACTATATTCTGTTACCAAGCTATTACATTATTCCATTTTCCCAGGACATATCATGTTTTTTTTTTTAAAGTTGGAACAATAGCAGCACACATAATGTTTCAGCAAATCAACAGTTGTTATTGTTTCTATATCACAAATAAAATTGGGAATTCCTAATTCCATGTAATTTGCACCAGGCTACATAGTTCACAACAGAGGAATAATTCTGAATGCAAAACTTTCCACATATAACTCTCACTACTAAAATTATATATCTTATTAAAGACTTTTGTTCCAAAAAACTTTCCTCATCAGTTTGTCAACTAATTAGGTGGTTCAGAGAGATAAAGTAGAGAATTCATAATCCTATTTTATTTACCCTCAGTGCAGGCATGCTAGTAGTCCAAACTGACTCCTGAAAGAGTTTCCAAAATTAATTTACTTCTCACTAGGAAATTCCCAAAAAGTTTCTGAAGAATTATCAGCATCCTCAGAACACAGTGTGAAGCTATCTGATGGAAAAAGCCTGAGGCTACATACAATTGCATTATGAATACACTTAATGTAAGTTGCCTACAATTGGCACCAGAAAAGATGGGCAGCATATAAAGGTAAAGATTTTGCCAATCCAGTCAAGTCCAACTCTAGGGGGGTGCTGTTTATCTCTGTTTCTTAGCCCAGGGAGCCAACACTGTCCAAAGACACTTTCATGATAATGCCAAAGTACGCTGCATGCTGTTACCTATATCTACTTATCTACTTGCATTTGCATGCTTTTGACCTGCTAGGTTGGCAGGAGTTGGGGCAAGTAATTGGAGCTCACAACACTGCATAGCATTTGGGTCTTAAACCCAGGTAAGCTAAACATCTTTAACCGCTGAGTCATTGCGTCTCTATGGACATATAGGTTGAATAAATAAATAATAAATAAAAGTAATGAAGGCAAATTTCAGGTTGGAGAAAAACCTTGCAACTATTATTATTATTGATCATCGCACAGTCAGCCAGATGTTCAGACTGGATTTCGCATTTTGTCTACCTATCGAGTCCTTACCCAGGACCTGAGATAGGCAGATGTGGATGTTTGATGGTATTACAGATATCGTCGCAGGATGGAAGTAGTTTATTTATTTATTTATGAGACTTATATACCGCTTTAAGTGCAAGCACTCTCTAAGCGGTGTATACCAGTAAGCAATGTATATATATATATTTACATCGCCCCCAACAATCTGGGTCCTCATTTTACCTACCTCGGAAGGATGGAAGGCTGAGTCAACCTTAAGCCGGTGAGATTTGAACCGCTGACCTGCTGAACACAGTCAGCTAAAGTGGCCTGCAGTACTGCACTCTAACTGCTGCGCCACCTCGGCTCATACATTTCCTAGTAAGGCCGCCTTTTGCAATTGACTAATAGCGAATTTGTCAATGCCAATGGTGCTCAAGTGGTGCTCCAGTTGTTTTGGGATTGCACCCAAGGCGCCTATGACTATTGGTACTACCCTTGCTTGCTTTTGCCAGTCTTTCTATTTCTATTTGTAAGTCTTTGTATTTTGTTATCTTCTCCAGTTCTTTCTCTTCTATTCTGCTATCTCCAGGCACTGCCACGTCCACTATCCAGACTTTTTTGTCTTTCTTATCGACAATTGTTAAGTCTGGGGTGTTATGTTGCAGGTGCTTGTCTGTTTGAATTTTGAAGTCCCAGAGCAGTTTAATTTTATCATTTTCTATGACTTTCTCTATTTTATGATCCCACCAGTTTTTGCTTACAGGCAAATGATATTTTTTGCAGATCTTCCAATGCACCATTGTTGCTACTTTGTCATGCCGCTGCTTGTAGTCAGTCTGTGCAATCTTCTTGCAACAGCTTACCAAGTGGTCCACTGTTTCTTCAGCTTCTTTGCATAGGCGGCACTTACTGTCTGTTGCTGTCTTCTCAGTTTTGACTTTATATGCATTTGTCCTTAAGGCTTGGTCTTGTGCAGCCAGAATTAGTCCCTCGGTCTCTTTCTTCAATTTTCCTGCTCTTAGCCATTGCCAGGTCTTGTTATTATCTGCTTTCCCAGATGATGATGTTGATGATGATGATTATTATTATCATATGGCATTGTTACATTAACCAGGAAACTATGGTGCTCATGCATAGTAGTGGTTTGACTGCCTATTTACCAGCTCTTATCAAGTAAATGCTTGCACACTTCCCATGGTGCACCACATGAGGGCTAGCTGGCTTCACACCAGAAAGATGAGTGGCTTTTCCTGCAGCAACATCTGAGTCCCCCTCCCTCCTCTGGAATTGCTTCACAAATGGGAAGGAAAGTTCAGAGACAGCAGAAATCTGACTGACTGCACTGACTGCCTCAATTCATTTCCCACCAAAGTGGTACCTATTTATCTACTCCTATAGAATATCCCTTTGAACTGCAAGATGGGCAAAAGCTGAGGCAACTAATGGGAGTTTACTCCTCCACACACTGCTAGGGCTTGAACCAACGCAGCAGAGACCATCTCCAGCATCATTAAGCCACTGAGCCACCGCACCTCAAACTTGCAACTGTGCATAACTTACTCTAAAATAATAAAACATACTTTACATTATTCAATTCACATTGAAAGAACTTACCTGGCTGTTCTGTTACATCTACTTTGGCAATATTCACTTCAAGATCCTCGCTCCATTCGGCAAAACTTTCCCATTCTGGCTGTAAATTCTGACAGGCAGGACACCAAGGAGCATAGCTGAAAAATAAATGCTATGTAACCAACTGTTATACAAAGAAAAAAAAAACCTTTTCTTTCTTATCTGAGAATAAAAACTGCAGGTATTTTGGGGTATATACTTGCTATATATTACTAATATGATTTATGGAAACTGTAGTTCCTACCATCTGACTATTATAATAGAGCGTAAGAAATATTCAAAATTAAAAGGGATAATTTTAAGGGAAGAAGTTATGCCCTGCACACAAAATCTTCCTACTTTGTTCTTTGGTACATCTAATTCAATGAATATAAAGTTGTGATAGCTAAAAAAGCCTCTTTGCTCAAGAATTTCAACATAGGTAATATTCTAAAGTAAACAAACCATTGAGGTTCTCACTCAGAAATACAAAGCAGCTTGCAGCCATAAAACCTTGATCAACTTCACTGGATTCTATGACATGCCTTACAGGGCTGTTTATTACATTATCTTCCTTCATATGACAATTCATTAACCTTATTAAAATAATAGGAGGCATAATGCTCTTGAATACTGATGGAGTATTTCAACAACCATGTGCTAGAGATGTATTCAACATTCTGTACATTAACTGTTTCAAGCACAAAACAGTTTTAGGTGATTTGTGCCAAATCAAAAAACTCATATTTTGGTCCATGCATGGAACAAATGAGCTGTTTTGCCTGCAGTCACAAACCATTGGGAGTTGGGGAGGGGGAAGCATATACGATGGTGCTGATGGGAAGCAGGGACTCCTGTTCTTAATTGCCTAGACTGGATGCACAAGTCAGTACATTGGCAGTGGCTGAATTGAGGGAGAAAAATGTGATATATTGCACTAAACAAAGCATGGGGAAAACAGGGCATTTAGGGTTTAACACACTGAAAGACACCAGTCTTGGCCTACTCATTTTTTATTTCATTCAAAAATTGGAACTATGTGCTTCTGCTTTCACTTCCGCAGAATAATGGCTGGCTTGAAACAGCAGAGTTCCTCTCACTCAGACATAGTACGCAGAAACTCCCCTCTCCAAAAGAATTACCAAATCAAGGGTACAAAATTCCCCTTGACCCACATCTGTCAACTTTGGTTACTTTAAGATGCATGGACGTCTATTCCCAGTATTCCCCAAGCAACATGCACACATAAGCATGTAAGCCGGCTGGGGATTCTGAGAGTTGAGAGTCCACCCATCTTAAAGTAACCAAGATTGACAAACACTTCTCATGATCATTAGATAGATAACCCCAAGGAGGAGATAGGAGGATCAAAACATCCTGTTCTCCTGGTGGACGAGTGAAACAGAGCGAAGGAGACTAGCGAACGGTGGAGCGGAGTAGCCCTGAGCAGTTCTCCTTTCTTGAGGGCTGGATTAGATGAACCCTTGCGGTCCCTCCCAATCTACGATTCTGGGAAAAGAGCTGCTTCTCCGCCCTCGAGGACTCACAATTCCACCATCCACTCGCCCTGCAGCAGTTCTTGCCACGCTCCGTCAGTCAGTACTTTGACTTGATTCCTCCCGGCCAAGGCGACACCCGGCGCTATAAGCAGCAGCATCGAGGCGAGCGCTATCCGGGCAGACCTCGCTGAGAAGGCACGGAGAGGAATCACGACCGCCATCATCTTGGACTATTTCCGTCTTAGCAGAGTGCCAGGAAACCCAATCAGAAAGGATGCCAGGAAAAGGGGCGACTCATCCCTGGGAAGCGACCAGGCGCGCGTGCGATTCCTCACTTCCGCCGCCCGTGGTTGTGATGGTCCTGCCTCCCGCCCCTGATTGATATGTAGAACAGCGAACCAATCACAGCTTGCCTCGGTTCTTTCGCCCCGCTCTCCGCTTCTCCCTTCTGCTTCCCCTGATTGGGAGCGGCTTTTACAGTTTGGCAGAGTCAATGTTACTCTTTTGCCTACTTTTCAAGGCGACCGAGCTGCAGAACCAAATTAAAATGAATAAAGAACTGCTATAACGAGTCACTTTTTTCTTTTAAAAGGAATATATTATAAAACACAACATGTTTTTAGAAATAATATTTCCCGTATTTTCCCTTTATTTAAATGGGTAGACATGACATTTCTTCATCGGTGGATAGGGTATTTTTGCTTGGTTATGGCTAATGAAATGGAATGACTTAAGAATCTTCCCGAATTCCTTTTCCAAATTCCTTCTCCCAAGTGTAAGTGGGGCCTTGACTGAAGGATCCTAATGTTCCACAGAATACAGTATTTCAAAAACCTCTGCTTCGAATTAACAGGAATCTCCTGATTATACTGGCTTGAGATAGATGATATTCAACCCGATGTATTTGGAATGTTAAAAGTTCAGGGAGGCAGCTTTCTGCTTCGTATCATATCACCACTCTTTCAGTCTAATGAGAGGATAAATGGAACATAGCAAGATATGAGTAAGTTGGATGAAGAACTATACACCTTTACAGTAATTTGGAACCAATCCTTGCATTTACGACCTTCATAAGTATATAAAGCAAAGGAAAGCTAAAATAAGATCATAAATATAGTCATGGTTTGACTTAGTGACCACTTCTCTTAACTTAGTTGCTAATTCCGGATGTGGTTGTGACATGAAGACTACATGTAAGGGAGCAGAACTACTTAACTTGTTTTTTGCATCCGTCTTTACACAAAGGGAAAAAACAGTCCAACCTATCAAAACAGTACTGTAAAAACAGATTAGAAACACAAGTTAAAATAAGCAAGACAATGGTAAGTTAACACCAATCCACCCCAGACAAGTTCAAATCACCAGGACCTGATGGATTATACCCCAAGGTTCTGAAGGAATTGGCAGACATAATCAAGCAACGAAAAAGTGAACACTTAGAAGCAAACAAAGTTATAACCAAAAGGCAACATGTGTTTGTCAAAAACACGTCATGCCAGACAAATCTTATTGCATTCTTTGACCAGGTGACAACATTAGTGGACCAGAGAAATGGTGTGGATATAATTTACTTGGACTTCAGTAAGACATTTGATAAAGTAGACCACAACCTACTACTTGACAAGATAGAAAAATGTGGGTTAGACAGCATTACCACCTGATGGATTTGTAGCTGGCTGACTGGCCACACTAAGTGTGTGGTCCTCAATGGAACTGCATCTACATGGAGGGAAGTGTGTAGGGCTCTCTTCTGGGCCCAGTGCTTTTCAACATCTTCAACATCTTCATCGAAATAAGGGGATAGATGGGGAAATCATCAAATTTGCAGATGACACTAAGCTGGTAGAAATAGCCAACACGTTCGCTAGTCTCCTTCACTCTGTTTCACTCGTCCACCAGGGGAACAAGCAACACTTCAGAAGATAGGCTTAAGATACAGAAGGATCTTGAAAGACTTGAATATTGGATGCTAACAAAATGAAATTCAGGGGTGAAAAAAGTAAGGTTCTACATTTAGGCAAGAAAAACCAAATGCACAGGTACAGTATAGGTGTAGTAGTAACTGTGAGAGGGATCTCGGAGTTCTAGTGGACTGTCACTTAAATATGAGCCAGCAGTGTGCTGCAGCTGCCAAAAAAGCCAACACAGTGCTAGGCTATATTAACAGGGATAAAATCAAGATCATGTGAGGTTTTAATAACACTTTACAATGACTTGGTAAGGCAACACTTGAAATACTGCATTGTTGTAGAAATCAAAGACTTGAATCAGCTCTTTCAGGAAAGGGAAGTTTATTGCATGCAGGTTCAGAGAGCCATCCTGGCTTAAACAGTCTGAACTCAGATTGTACTTTGATGACCACTTTTATAACCCTTTCTGGCGGGGGTTATTTTCGGGTCACATTACATTCTATAGGTCCTTATTCTAACATAGAAAAACTACTAGACAGATCTATAATCGATAGCTCCTCGTTTACATTGGAATGTTTTTAGCAATCAGCAATATATCAAGTGTTAAGCAATTGAGATATACCATGTGACAGGCAGTTAGTAATATATCATGTGCAGAGCTGGGAACAGGATGTCTGGCCATCCTAAATTTAAGAGTTGTCTTGTAAGCAAAACAAACCCACATTTTTGTTGGGCCATCTGCTTTTTATACACATCCTTTGTCGGACCAGTATTTTTCCAGGTACCACTTTATTCCCCCCTGATGAGACTTATCTCATCTATGCAGATAAGTTTCATTCCATAACACTTGGGTCTGATGTATGTATGTTGTTATACTCTTGTCTCTGGAATTCCCACATGTGAAGAACCACCCTTTAGGTAACCATATGTTTGCATACCCAAAAGACACTGTTTGGAAAGATGTGCAATTTAGCTTTTCTTGGCTCACTTTCAGGCAATGAGGTGAAGGTATATTCTGCTCACACCCTGTGACATGTGCACATTGTAAGTCTTCTGGAATGGCAACGTTAGGAGTATGTGACTGAATTCCTTAGCTGCTGTGACTGGAACACACACTGGTATTAAACATGTGGACAGCAAATTTTCCATGTCATATGCTTCAGAAAGGCAAAAATCAGTTGTGTTGGCTAGTTTAGCCAATTGGACCCACAAATTATATTGCATCCTTGACTCCAATGGATGGGGCATATCCTTATTCTGATGGGACCTTCTACTTTGTTTTCTCTCTGGGCACTTCCTCGGGGGTCTTTGGATAGTTACTCCAAATTCCACCGGGATAACATGTACGATGCAAGTCCCCTTCCATCCCGTCTTCAACTGCGAGACTAGGGTGACCCGCTCCCATCCCCAGAATAAGGGAGGCCCACACTCCAGAGTAACAGGAGGAGGAGGCTTCTTATATGGGGCCTTTACACATATGCCTTTCCTAAGAATATATCCAACATACTGACAGGCTTCGGGATTGACAGGTGGTCTTGTAATACAGGCTTCTTTAACTATTCTGTCAAATGCTTGGGGAAATTGACAAGGATGAGGCCAGCTACCATTCCAGCATTCTGGGGAAAATCCAATAGGGGTTGACCTTTACAAGTGCCCGTGCCTATAGCATAAGATTGGATAAGGCGTGGAGCTTCTTCTGGCTTGCTCCATTGGCCTAAATTAGAAAGACAAACATTATTACATGCAACAACAGTACTATATAAAAGCAGAAGGAAGCCTTTCATCCTTTCTTCTCCCGTGCGTAGAAAGCCAGCTTCCGGGTGTGGCTTAGCAGGGGGTTGAATTTCAGCCAGGCAGCCATAGATATATGTGCAGGATACACTTGTGCTAATACAATATCTGGTTTACAAACAATAAAATATTCATTAAACATACTAAACACGTTTAAGAGTGAGTTTGGTGGGAACCTTGGGGTCCCTGTTCACTGTCCACAGAGGTTCTGCAGCTGCTTTAACTCTGGTCCAGTGAATCCAAGATTTAGATTCTGCAATCTTTATTGCTAAAGGAGAGGCCATTATTACTTCATAAGGTCCTTTTCATCTCCCCTCCAGTTGTTCATGTTTCCAATGTTTCACCCACACCCTATCCCCTGGTTTAAAGGGATGACATCTTGTTATTAGTTTAGAAGGTGTTTGTTCAACAACCTAGTCCCTAAGTTTTTCCACTTGCTTATTCAGTTCCCCCCATACTCCCCCCTGATGGCCCCTTTACAATGCATAACTGAAACCTTTGCTGGCTTTTGTACTGCATCGAGAAGATGCTTTATCAAGTGTCCATGTAACCCATGTTTGCCAGCCGAATCCCTGAATCCCCTCTCCTTATACACAGCACCATGAGCATGCAGAGTTAGAAAAGCATATTTACTATCTGTCCAGACATTTAAAGTTTCCCCTTCAGCTCTTTCCAATGCTCTAATTAATGCCCACAATTCTGCCACTTGAGCACTGCAGTTTGCTCCTAGCGGACTACTTTCCACCACTTCCTCATCATTCACAATCGCATATCCAGAAACCCTCCTCCCCTCCTTCATGTAACTCGAACTGTCTGTATACCAATTCAGGGCAGCAAGCAGTTGTGTTCTGAATCCACTTCTGTGGGCAATAGGGTGGCAGGGTTTAGCCGGTTAGACACCACTAATTTCACTTGAGGATTTTCAATCATCATCGCCTGATACTTAAAAAGCCTTTGACTGCTGATCCACAAATACCCTTTATTATCCAAGATAGAATGAACTGCATGAGGGGTGTGGACACTTATGGGACATGAGAAGGTCAATTTATTACAGTCCTATAAAAGGACTGCTATAGCAGCAAGAACCTTCAGGCAGTGTGGCCAGCCTTGGGCAACCCCATCTAATTGCTTAGATAAGTAAGCCACCGGGCGTTGCCACTGTCCTAATTGTTGAGTTAACACCCCCAAGGCAACATTCTTTCCCTAAAGGCATTCTTTTGTTCTCCCTCCCATTCAAAAGCAAACAACGGCTGGCTAGCCTTGTGAATAGGAATCGTGAAAAAAAGCATCTTTCAAATCCACAACTGAAAACCACTTTGCTATGAACAAGTGTATACCAAGGCTTCCTGATTAAAATTGTCCACCCTTGATAAGAAATGCTAACCACCAAGATGTCCCCAAATGTCAATTTTAGATAAAAATGCCACTGGCTGCCTTTCCCCCCCCCCACGCACACACTTCTGGGCCAAAACCTCCTCCAACCTTTGTCCTTGTTTATAAATAAATTACCTAGCAAGGAACCAACAAAGGAGAGCTCACCAAACCCTGTTTGCATTTATTAACACAAGCTCTTTTTCTAACAGTTTTGCATACAAATCTTTACTCAAAACAGCATAGCATAGCTATTTATAATCCCAAAATTT